TATACAGTATAAAACTATTAACAAAAGCTTAAAATCAGCCAAATGTGCTATACATTGTTTATGGATACATACAAATGCAATGAAAGTGTAAAAACATGCATGAGAAGAATAAACACCAAATGCAGGGTGATGGTTACCTTTATGGAGTGGGGAAGGAAGGAGAGAAAGGAATGGAATCTGATGGGATTCACAGGAAGTTTCAACTATAATTCTTTTTTAAAAAGCTCTGAAGAAGGTTTATTTATAAAATGTTAAGATTCAAGAAAAGTGGGTGGTAGTACAAAGATATATCTCCTATTAGTTATAAGTTTAAATAAGCCAAAACCGAGATAAAGAAAATCCATATCAAAAGTCTTTGGCATTCCAAGTCCACCAGCAGTCAAGGGATTACCCCTTTCCCACCCCACCTGCCCCACTTCCACCCCTTCCTCCATTACTACCACCAAAGATTCATTTCCTATAGACTCTAACCCAGTGGAAGGCAACAGGAAGGTGCAGGGCTAATAATGGGATTAAACAGAAGTCAGCTGGGAGTCAAAGCATTCTTCCCCACTCCCACACACTCTGGGAATGCTCACTGCCAAATTTAAAAGCCCCCAACACAACTAGAGGATTCTTTTCTGGAGAAAGACCTCCCAGTATTGACTTTGTGGGCCCCCAGTGAAATCTGGCACACCACTGGTGCACCTTATAGTGAAGCCCATTAATCCAGGGCTTCTCACAATATTACATGCATTTAAATTACCTGGTGATCTTGTTAAAATGCAGATTCTAGGGGCACCTGGGTGGCTCAGTTGGTTAAGTGTCTGCCTTAGGCTCAGGTCATGATCCCAGGGTCCTGGGATTGAGTCCCACATCGGGCTCCCTGCTCAGTGGGGAGCCTGCTTCTCCCTCTCCCACTCCCTCTGCTTGTGCTCTCACTCTCTCCTCTCTGTCAAATAAATAAATAAAATCTTAAAAAAAAATGCAGATTCTAAATCTGTAGTTTCTAATGGGGACTGAAATTCTGCATGTCCAAAAAGTTCCCAGATGAAGCCAATGCTGGTGGTCCCTTCTGAGTAGCAAGGTGTTAGTGAACTCATCTTGCCCACACATTGAGTCTCCCTTCTGCTTCTTAGAGTCTCATTCTTCAATATAAACAGACTGCTAGAGTAGCCAGACTTTAGAGGATAGCCATTAACATAAAAGAAAGAGACCTAAATAAATGAGCATAAAAAGGACCCAAAGAAACAGATCAAAGCAGAGAGCAGAAGAAAAACTAAAACACACTATAACGTCTCAGAGAGATAGAAGATATTCTTGTCCATAAAACAAAGATAGAATAATATGGGGTGGGGTCAGTCATTAAAAAGGTCTTGGGAACTAAAGATAGAAAAACTGAAACTTAAAATGGTTAAAGATAATGACAAGGACACATCCCAGAAAAACAGGACAACAAAAACCAACAAACAATGGGAAGAGTTTCTGTTTTGCAAGATGGAAACAAGTGGTTGTACAGCAATGTGAATATTCTTAACACTACTGAATAGTACACTTAAAAATGGCTAAGACAACAAATTTTATATTATGTGTATTTTAACCACAACTAAAAATAAAAACCAGGGGCACCCGGCTGGCTCAGTCGGAAGAGCATGCAATTCTTAATCTTGGGGTCGTGAGTTCAAGCCCCACGTGGGGTGTAGAGATTATTTAAATGAATAAAACTTAATAAATAAATCAAACAAAAAAACCACAAAGAAATAGGAAATAGAAAATTAAAGAATCAATCCAGAAATGAAACTTCTAAATAACAGGCATTCCAAAAAAAGAACAAAGAAAATAGAGAAGAAATGATCAAGGAAATAATAAAAGAAAATTCCCTCCCAAACTGAAGTACATGAGTTTCCAGTTTGAATGAGTGCTCAGCACAAAAACATTAAGAGTCACAGCAAAATATATCATTATAAAATTTCCAACCAGGGTGGCTCCGTTGCGCAATGGATAGCGCATTGGACTTCTAAAATTTCCAACCAATAGCCTAAAGAGAAAATTCTAATGCTTCCAGAGATGGAGAAGATACACAAAGGATCAGGAATAGGAATAGGAATCAGACTTTTTAAATAGCACCCCTGGATGGTTGAAGATAATGGAGTAATATTTTCAAAACTATGAGGAAAAAATTATTTTCAAATTTGAAATCAATACCCAGCTGTTAAAAAAACAAAATTTAGGGGTGCCTGGGTGGCTCAGTCAGTTGAGTGTCTGCCTTCAGCTCAGGTCATGATCTCAGGGTCCTGGGATCAAGTGCTGCATCCTGCTCCCTGCTCAGCAGGGAGTCTGCTTCTCCTTCTCCCTCTGCACCTCCCTCCAGGCTTGTGCACGCACCCTCTCTCTCTAATAAATAAATGAATTTTTTTTTAATTTAACCATGTTAATTTGAAGATCTAATTGGCTTTGTTAAATGATTCATGAATCAGGCAACATCCCATCCATAGAGGGTAGCTCTCAGGGGTTACCGAAAAGGAAAAGTTTTTTGTTTGCTTTTTTAAGTACACTCCACGCCCAACGTGGGACTTGAACTCATGACCTTGAGATCAAGAGTCACACGCCCTACAGACTGAGCCAGCCAGGCACCCCAGGAAAGGCTTATAAAGGCAGGACAAGGAAGTCAAACAGAAAAAATGATTATTTCAGGTGAAGTCACCTTCACTTGGGGACAGAGGGGTCTTAGTAGGTGGATTACTTCATCTTCCTTTGGGGATGGAGAGGGCCCATGAGACTGATAAACTTATTGGTGCTGATCAGAAAATTTCTGAATAATGGTTAAGACTATATTTCTGGGGGAGGTTGAAAGTATAATTTGGTTAAGTATTAAGCCCCAGGTTGGTGAGTTGGCCTAAGTAACACCATATTGAGTTTCTTTTTAACACAGCCCAACTACAATCCAAGTGTTAGAATAAAGATATTTTCAAATATGGGGGCACCTGGCTGGCTCAGTCAGTAGAGCATGGGACTCTTGATCTCAGGGTCCTGAGTTAGAGCCACACTTTGGGTCTAGAGATTACTTAAAAAAAAAAAAAAGGTATTTTCAAATATGCAGATTCCAGGGCACCTGGGTGGCTCAGTTGTTAAGCGTCTGCCTTCGGCTCTGGTCATGATCCCAGGGTCCTGGGATCAAGGCCCGCATCGGGCTCCCTGCTCCACAGGGAGTCTGCTTCTCCTCTGCCTGCCGCTCCCCCTGCTTGTGTTCCTTCTCTTGCTGTGTCTTTGTCAAATAAATAAAATCTTTAAAAAAAAAAATGCAGATTCCAACAACATATCCCTTAAGTCTCTTCCTTAGGAAGTTACTAGAGAAAATGCTTTAGCAAAACAAGGATGTAAAGCAAGGAAAGGAAGCCACTGGATCCAGGAAGTGGGCAAAACGGCCCAAAACAGCAGTAAGGAAAATCCCAGAATGACAACTGTACAGCAAGTCTAGAGAGCAGTCAATCCAGATTAAAACAAGAGAAAGGAGAGCTCTGGGACAAAGACGCTATAGAAAAAGTGGAACTTATGTATTTGAGTATATGGAAAATATTGCTAGACTTTGACAGAGTCTTAGCGCACTTGGGAGAGGGGATGGGCAGTCAACTGTAGATAATACAGAAAATTTACAAGAGAGAAAAAAGGCAATAATTAAGTCTAAAAAAATGAAAGGTTGTATAAGTTAGAAGGCATGGTTGTAGCGTACTCTGGGGCTCACTGGTAAGCAGTATGTGCATACATAATAATTTAAATGCTGATTATCGGTTTCGCCAAAAATTGTTACATAACTGCAGGGGGCAGGGGGCAGAAGTGAAATATCATGTTCTTATTACCGCAGGAAGTCAACAGATAATGCTGAAAATTAACAAATCAAGAATATTACAAGCATTTGTTTCGATACATGGTTCAAATCAGGATGCATACATAAGAGTTGAAGATACTGCCTTTACAAAGTAGACCATTACAAGACTTTTAGCTTATGTATATATTTTTACATATATATATACATATATATTTTTACATCATGGATGTGCATTATTTTAGTTCAATAAACATTAATGCTAAAATATTAGCAGATAAGAATCTGTTTTAAAGAGCTGTCTGGGCCTCGATGACAGGCGCTAGTTTTTGTTCATTTTTTGGATTCTCCCACTCCCACCCCAAGAGTACATAGCAGAAAATAAATCAATGCATGTAGAAGAGACTCAACTAAGTTTGTTAAGATTCTCCCTGGAGGAGGGAAAATGCAGAACAAGGCACACACCTTCAGATAAGTATGAAGGTATGTCTCTGGCAGAGGCACTGAAACGTAAGGGTGTCAGACAGAAATCAAATCATGTTCGTGGCACCCAGAGGCAGCTCCCAGGCACAAAAACGGAGGCATGACAAACCCAGGGAGGCCTATTCACCTAGGTGACTTCTCATTGCTTTCCTTCATTGCTCGTTTAACTATTTGTAGTTATATAATTGAGACTTGGTTTCCTTTACCAGACTGTAAGCTCCATGAGGGCAAGATGTCGTCAGTATCATTCACCACTGTACCGCCAGCACAGAGCCATGAGGCCGCTAAATATTGGCTGGAGAAATGAATTCGTGATGGTGCTGCTAGAAGCCATTAGTGTGGCATAAGTAAGGGGCACGCCGACAAGCTGAGAGCAAAGGAGCCGGCTAGGAGAGGACAAGGGCGAGCTCCTCGCGGCGTCTCTGAAATGACACGACCGGAAGGGTAGAGCTGGACCTCTGGGACGAGCGGGAGGGAGGGGCTGGACAGTGAGGCAGGCATTGGAGAATGACAGCTGACGAGGAGACAAACTTGCAGGAGCTGGACGTGAAGGGGAGGCTGTGGGAAAGCGGAAGGAACCGGGGGATGGGGTGAGGGTCGCGCATGCGCCAGCCCAGCCTCCGCGGCGCCCCTGCGTGCGCGTGCACGAGGGGTCAAAGCGGAAATGGCGCCGCGGGGCCGCGCGTCCGGGCAGCGAGCGGAAGTGGGTGTGAGAGCGGAAGTGGCCGGCTGGAGCCGGGGGCTGGGCGGGGACCGGGCTTGTCGGTGAGGCGGCAGCGGTGGCGGCGGCGGCTCGGCAGGCGGGTTCAGGCTTCGGGGGCCAGGTCGGTCGGGTGGGTGGGCGTCTCCACAGTCAGTGCGTGCGAGGGCGAGCGCGCGCGTCTTCCTCTTCCCTCCCACCCCGGTCCCTCTTCTCCTTTCCCCTGACCTCCTACCCCACCCAACCCCCCTCCTCAGGGGGCAGCAGGGCCGCTCCCTCCGTCCTTTCCTCCCTTACCCACCCTCACCTTCCCTTGTTTCTCCTTCCCCTGCCCGGGGCAGCCGCCGCCATGATCCTGCTGGAGGTGAACAACCGCATCATCGAGGAGACGCTCGCGCTCAAGTTCGAGAACGCGGCCGCCGGGTGAGCGCGCGCCCAGGGCCGGTGGGTGGCGGGGGAGGCAGAGTTGACCCCTGCTAGTCCGCAGTGTCGTTCAGTTCCCCCAGACTTGGAGGGACGAGGTGGGAGACCTGGCCGGGTGTGGGGACGGCCCTGGCGGGGTAAACGTGGGAGGCGACTGGGCGCGGTGGGGTGAGGGGCAGAGATGCGTGGGGAGAGGCTTGGAGGAAGGATGCGGAAGCGGCGAGTGGACCGGAGCGCGCGTGCCAAAGGGCAGGAGACCTGTGGGACATGAGGACAGCTGGGGCCGGAACTCTGGCCGGAGGATCCCATTGCCTTCTGGAGCGAGCAGGGGACCCCTCATCTCTGTATTCCCCGTCATTGTTCTGAACCCCAAGAAAGCCCGTTTGAGATTGGGTTGGAAGGAGTTTCCAGGAATTCCCAGGACTGGAGGAGGGAAGAAGATGCAGGCCCACGTCCCCACCGGCCTTCTCGCTCCCCAGCCCCACCCCCACCTCAACGTCTAAAGGAGCTGGAGGCAAGACTGAAAGACCCAGTCGTGCAGCCGGAAAAACGCGACTTGTGTAGTTTCCCTTCCCGAACCCTACTGTTGAGACACACTGGCCATTTTGTTACATATTTCTCAAGCAAAGCTGATAGTCTCCCCATTCACACCCCTCCCTTATCTCTTTTCTGAGGTTCTAATTCTCCTCTCCCCACCCATTTATCTTTTAAACTCTTAATATAAAACCCCTGGTCTGTGATTTTTAATGTGGTAATCCTGGCCCAGGTACACACTTAGAAGCATCCAAGGTCTATAAAGTTCTCAGATAACCTTTATTTATCATTGGCCTTTTTAAAGGTAGGTTAGTACGTATTTCTAAGGCAGCCTTCTCTGTGAAACACAAGAATCAGTAGAAAACAGCCTCCTTCCCCGAAGCTGCTTTGCTTTTCTAATATTTAAAACGTGAGCCAAGGATCTGGTTTTAGCTTCTAATTTTCGGTGGCCTGTAGCCAGCCCCTTTGCCTCGTTTCCCCGGGCTTCGCCTCTTGGTTACACAGTTGAGGAAATAAGTGCAAACCTTCTGGTGAACTGGGAACTAGTCATAAGAAAGAAGTACTTGGAGATCTGCAGATGGGAAAGGGTTGGTGCCGGGGAAATTCTAAAGTGCTCATAATGAACTTGTGGCTTGGAGGCTTTAAAAAAAAATACTTCTAACCCACTGCTTAAATTGAACAGACTGTGTCTCTTGTCTCTTTTATAAGGTCACAGATTTTATCTGTAAAGTAAAGCATGGCTTTAGTTGAAGTAAGGCTTACAGTAAGCAGTAGCTGCTATTTCCTGCCAGGGGCTGCAGTTACTTATATTTGAAGCTAACTTGCTTCTTGTCTTCAGTCTCACCAGTTCCTCTGCATTTTAAATGTTTGAGTGAATCAGCTCAGAGTCTTATTTTGGGTGATGGCTGGGTACTTCTTTTGAGCAGTGTAGCACATCGGAGGAAGTTAAATTAACTTCTGCATTTTCACAGCTGAATCTGTTAAGTGCATTCTCGAGTTCAGACTAGCAGAGAATGAGACCTGGGTGGTTATAAGCTGATCTACAAGATAAATGTCTGTTCATTTTCAAGTAGAAGCATGCCTTGTAGTGTAGAAGTACATTCACATCTATTTGTGTATTTGTGATACCAAAATGAAGCCCATTATCCAGAACATCAGCTCTTTTCCTTTTAAAAAATTAACTCTTAACAAAGTACCGTTTCAGAGGAATTAAAATAGGCACTCCAGTCTGGAAGCGTAAGTTAGAACTTCTAAGACATTTCTTAACGAAGTATATGTTATAGCAATGTTGGATATTGGGGCAGGGCAGCAAATTTTGGCTTTTACTGTGGCCTGTCTTCCCTTTGAGGTGTGACTTTAAGTGGGCTCAAAACATACTCTGCAGAAAAGCGCTCTGAAGATCTTTGAAGAGACCCTGATAGCAGGCCTAGGAGGTAGGAGGTAGGTGGGATTGCAGATGTAACCGTGGCTGCACACCAGCCACGGTTCTAGTGCTCAGTTGCCCCCACATGTGGCTAGTAGCGGCCATATTTGGACAGAACACATGTAGAACATTTCCACTATTTGCAGAAAGTTCTGTTGAACAGCAGTAGCACTGTTGAAGCTACTGAACATGCGAGCATGAGATAGTCTGTGGTATATGCTTCAAAATACAGTTGCAGTAATTTTCCTCCTGAGGTTGATTTTTTTTTTTTTTAAATGATGCCTCAGACCATCCTGCTGAATGTTGCCTATAACATCCTACTAAGAGTCTAAACTAACTTTGGGTAAAGCAATTGTTAATCTAAACTGTTGAACATTTAGGCATGATCACCTTTTAATTTGGAGGCAGTTCCGAAAAAGCCTAAGATTCATTCCTAACAAATTGCTTTCTATTTTTTCCTACCACACTCCTGGGGAAAATGGCTTATTGGAATGGTTCATATATCGTCACAAAATGGTAATTATTGGTAAATTGTCTACTCGACATCCTACACACTATGAGAATATGCTGATTAAGAAGCCATGCTCAACACTGCAAATAAGCTTGTGCAGGTCTTGTCAACAGCATTGCCTTTTCATTTAGGAATTCTTATCCAGATGCCCAGTTAAAACAGAAATAATCTGGCAAATTAATTTAATTTTTTGTTACTGTATACATACAAGAACCTTTCAGCCTCAGAAGCTAGGCCTGTCAACTTCAAGTCTGGAGTCCAGAATTGAGGAAATGCTGTCAGATGCGAATTGCTGTTGATTTTAAGTGCATGCTGGCTCCTTGCCACAGCTGTGCATATTGTGAGGCTCTGTGGTTGTGTGAGGGGGAGTGAAGCAAGCCGTGCCAGTTGGGGGTGGGCAAGGACTGTGGGAGGAGAAATTTGAGAAAGGAATAAATTAAATCTTGCTGATACCTTGTTCTGATTCCTAAATATGCTGCATGTGTCCTCAGAGAGACAGACTGATTTGAAGTGATTTGGAATTGGGACATTGTTTAAACATCTAGAAGAAATGGAATGGTCTGGTTGGTCTTTTTTTTTTTTAAGATTTTATTTATTTATTTGAGAGAGAGTGAGAGAGACAAAGAGCACAGGAGGGGGGAGCAGGAGAGGGAGAAGCAGACTCCCTGCTGAGCAGGTAGCCCGATGCGGGACTTGATCCCGGGACTCCAGGATCATGACCTGAGCCGAAGGCAGTCGCTTAACCAACTGAGCCACCCAGGCGCCCGGTCTGGTTGGTCTTTTTACAGGTCATTATAGTTGCACATTGCTGCCTGGCTTCTGACCTCCTCGGCACCGCTTTGTGCATGAAGCTCCAGAGCTATACTCCAAGAAACTGATGACTCCTTAAGGGCAGGGCCTATCACTTTGGTCATCTTTCTTTCCCAGCATCCTCACTGTATGTATAGTTAGCTCAGTAACTATTCTCTTGAAGGAATGGATGAGGCCAGGTGGAATGGATCTTAATTTCTTTAGGTGCTTAATTTATCACTATTCTGATACTGTGTGAATCAGCTTTTAGATCATCTTTGTTCTGCATATTTTGAGATCTGGCTTAGCAGAGAGTAAGGACCACATTTTTTAGTCTTGGCTCAAATAGGTTGATGGGAGCCTTATAGGGGAATTAACTGGAGAGTGATTGAAAACTTTACAGTGAGATAGCCGAATTCAATAATTTCTCTCATTCGGTTCATAGAAGGGGTAAGTAGAAGAGGCACATAAGTGCCCGGATGGGGAATTGGATGCATTCAGGAGTAAGAACTCCAAAATCCTTAATGAGAAAAGGAGATTGGAAAATACAGTTGTCAGGAGTTCTTTAAGGATTTTAAGAATAGCTTTTGAAACCCATCTGAATGAATTGAATATATTTTAGTGTCTTGTGCTATCCAGTCAGTAACCCTGAGGACTTATCTAGCTGGTTTGTTCTAGGATTCTGGATATCACAACACTGTTCTGTTTCTCCTTACAGTGCTGACCAATTCCTGATTCTGGGAGTTAGCACAATCCCACAACTTCTCCCAACCATGGATGGCTTCAAAGTCTGGTCTCTTCTGACTTCACGTAGAAGAAAAACTAATTCATCGATCACCGTCTATGAATTAGACACTTTGCTCTAAGCTTTGAAATCATAACTTCATTTGATTTCAAAATGTGCCTGTGTGACAGCAGTTCCCATTTACAGCTGAGAAAACTGGGCCTCTTGGGAGTTGTGGAAGGAGTAGACTAATTCATTAAGCACTGTGCAGATACCCTTCACTGGGGACTTCTAACCTTATTTATGATCCGTCACACACACAACATGATATTTGTATGGCACATTTGAGTAAATGGTCTAGCCTAGAGCTCCTGCTACTGGGTGGCCCTGAGGGCTGTGAGGATCATTATCTCAGCATGTCTGTAACTTAGTCACAAGACACTGGTTGGGAAGCTTTCCTGTACGCATGTCATCTCAATTAGTCTTCACAACAACCTTTTAATTTTCATTTTCTAGGAAAGGAACCTGAGGCTCAGCAATATCTGAACAACATTGAGTGTGGTTTATAGCCAGTAAGTGACAGGACTTGAACTGTCAGCTCTTAAGGACTTGCTTTTATTGTGATTAAACTCATTCCCAGCATCTGAAACTTTAGCAGATGGTAAAACAAAAAAATAACTTAATCCATTTATCTTTTGGGCTTGTTAAAGTGGTGCGCTTTCCCGCCAGACCAGTCTTACTCCCCTCTAGCTCCATGGTTTTAAACCACAGAAGTAAATAACAAACACCTGGTCTTGGAATTGACACACCCTCCTGTTTGGTATATTTCACTCTTGCTATGGTCTGTTTGTTGGGGCACATGACCCACATGACCTCTCAGGAAGACTCCTTTGGACAAATGCTCTCCTTTACAGCCTGTCTTCTCTATAACCTATTGTGCAGTCACAAATAGTAAACTAAAATATTAATGGCGGTGATTTGACAAATATTCCCGAGTCAGGCAGCAAACCACTTGGTATAGCTCTTCCTAAGCAACTTCTCCCAGTGGGGATATGTGCTTAGGGAACTTTACAGCCTAGAGAAATTCAGAATTTCAGTTAAAATGTTTATAGGTTGGGGGGGGCGCCTGAGTGGCTCAGTCAGTTAAGCTTCCAACCCTTGATCTCGGCTCAGTCGTGATCTCAGGGTCATGAGTTCAAGCCCTGCACTGGACTCCAAAAATTTTTAATGTTTATAGCTTGGAACCCTAAGGTTTTTTATTTATACCTAATTTTTCTCCATCTCTTGAAGTAGGAGAGTGAGGAACTCAGTCCTTCGTTGGCTGAGTTAAAACCTAAGGATTAAAAAAAAAACAAAAAAGAAAAACCCAGCCACCTACTAAGTGATGCAATATGGACTTTTACAAGCCTCCACCCTGACTTTTTGGCATAGCCACCCTTCCCCAGGAAAATATACTTTGGTGCTCCCTCCCATTGTGCAGCCTCTTCATAATTCATTCAGGTGAGCCCTAGATTAATGTTTGTGCTGCTTCTTCCTTTGCTCTTGGCTTTTTAGAGGTGAGGAATGGTGGTTGGCCATTCATTGTCTTTGTCTCCTGGCTGTAGTTTCAAATGAAAGATCAGAAGCAATTTAAGTTTTCATCTCGCTCTTTTCATCATATTCTGAACTCACTGCTTCTCTGTAAACCCACTCGGTGCTTTCATTCTTAGAGTCTCCCAGAGTGATTCTCCTAAACCACACATGGATGGCTATGATGAAAGAGTAGAGTAGAACTCTGTATGTGACTTATATCGGTTGATTTTTCAACAGGGATAACGTACACTTCATAGAAGCCAGTTTCCTGGAACGGTATTGTATAACATCTGCAGCAGCTTTTTAACACTCATAAACCCCCCTGTGTATTCCATTATTTCCCAGCAACCTAGAGGGCAGCTCAGTCGTGGTGCCCTTTACAGGTAGGGGAGCGGAAGTAGTAAAAAGATGTACTTGATGTAAAAAGAAGTAAAAAAGATGTACTTCATGGTGAGGTCTTGAGCAAATTAGGCAAGGATAAATGTGGAAATGTGTGTGTCTTGTCTGCTGGTCCATAAAACAAAGTGGAATCATTAGAGTCCTAGGTAGTTAGAGATAAAACCGTGGAGCCTTGGGGCGCCTGGGTGGCTCAGTCATTAAGCATCTGCCTTGGCTCAGGTCATGATCCCAGGGTCCTGGGATCGAGTCCCACGTAGGGCTCCCTGCTCAGCAGGAAGCCTGCTTCTCCCTCTCCCACTCCCCCTGCTTGTGTTCCCTCTCTCACTGTCTCTCTTTGTCAAATAAATAAAAAATCTTTAAAACAAAAAACGTGGAGTCTTCCTTTGTTTCCTACCATTGGGCTTTGAGAAATGGGGAAATCACGTAAGGTTGCTTTTCATGGGAGGTTAATTGACCATGATTGTTTATAGCTAGGATGTATGTCATGCCTTCTAGGTAATAACTCCGCAGCATTTATCAAGTAGAAGTTTCTGTACGACGCTGAGCAGGGAGCTGCACAGAAAGTATCAGGCTGTTGTCATTGCCTTCCAGGATAAGTTTCATATCTGTTCTCTTGCTTTATCTTTAGCAGTTCTATGAGGTCGGTAGGATCACTTGTATTCTCCCATTTTATAGATGAATAAGAGAAAGGTGTGCAGGTGTTAATTTGTCTGAAAACATGGTCCTGATGAAAAGCTAAAGCTGGAAAATTGGTGTCTTGACTGTTGCCAGTGATTTCACAGTGTTACTTTGTGCTATGCTTTCTATGCAGGTGCAGCACAGGAATTTCAAAACAAAACTAGGGTAGAACCAGGCAGAGGGCTTCGTGAAGTAGAGTGTTGAATACTTGGGTGACATTAAGGGAGAGGGAAAGACGTGTAGGAAGACTTAGAGATTGCCTTTGAAATGGTATAGAACTTCGTGTTTTGTTTTATGGCCTGGAATTATCCTTTCATCTTTAGTGAGTTAAAACCATTCTACGTTCTGGGGCGCCTGGGTGGCTCAGTCGTTAAGCGTCTGCCTTCGGCTCAGGTCATGATCCCAGGGTCCTGGGATCGAGTCCC